TCAGGGGATCTAGGAACTTGGATGGAAAGAAATTAATCTCTATTTTCACTAATTTCTAATGGCAATTTAGTATTCCCTTTAATCACGGCTGAGGAGCCCTAGTGGCACAGAGGTTAAAGTGCTCTGCTGCTAACCGAAAAATCAGCAGTTCCAGTCCACCAGCTGCTTCACAGGAGAAAGATGTGGCAGTCTGCTTCTGTAAAGATTTACAGCCTTGGAAACCCTATCAGGTCGCTATGAATCAGAATCAACTGGACACCAGTGGGCGGGTTTAATTATTACCGTAGACAGCAAACCATTAATAGTATTAGCACTACCATGATTCTGTCAAGAGAAATAACAGATTATTTTCATACTATATTACTAATGTTGCAGCTCTCTTGAAATATCTTACTTTCACCACTTTGAAATTATAATTTGAGGCAACTATTTCTATAAATTTGCTTCCTTTACAATCCTATATATTTTATGTATTTGCAAACATTATTTTGAGAAGGTGTCCATAGTTTTACCAGACTGTAAAGTGGTTCACAGTATAAAATAAGAACCTGAGGTAAGGCTAGTTTATGTTTAGTGAATAGTTTGTTTTAGATTAAAGGACTTAGTTTTTAATCACAGATTACTGAGCAGCATTAACAAGTTTAAGAGTGCAAAAAAAAAAAAAACCAAATTTGTTGCCATCGAGTCAATTCCATAGAGGCCTAATAAAAATTAAAGGAGACCTAACAGTGAATACAGATTGGTCAGCTCACTTGTCCATCTGCTCATTCTCCCTTCTCTTCTAGAGCAGAAGAGCCTTGAATGGAAAGCATGCTAGCTGAGAAAGGTTTTACCCACAAGCTTTTGACTAATTGTTTAGGATACCTCTGCTATTTTTGGATCTCCTCTGATTGGAATCCAGCTGCTAATATGAAAAATCAGGCAATTAGGAATCTCCAAGAATGCATAACTTGATATCCTGGCCTGTTTGTGGTGGTGTAAATCAAAACATTGTCCTTTTTGCTATTTTAATGAGTTGCTATATTATCAGGGAGGACTCTAGATAAGATACAACATCGAGTTTTATAATATAGTATATTTGTGAGAGCTTTCCAATCTGAATTTGGTTTGGGCAGTAGGAATATTTCTTGACTCTGTTGCTCTGCAGTTAAAAAAAAAATTTGGAGGCAAGGCCAAGATGGTGGAGTAGTCAGACGCTTCCTGTGGTCCCTCTTACAACAAAGACCCCCAAAAAACCAAGTAAATCGATTATATATACAATCTAGGAGCGCTGAACATCAAAGGCAAAGTTGAGGAATTGGACTAAGTGGCAG